TAGCAATATATTATTTAATACCATCATTCCTAGTTTACTTACAACAATGTGCTGTAAACCACCCATACAGATATACAGGACAATGATGAAATCGATAAATATTTGTCTTTGTTGTTACTTTTTTCAGTGATGCTTGCATCAGGATTGTAAGCATAAATGATTAATGTATACATTTGGAAGGATGTAGGATGTGTTATTGATACCTATTGATTGTCACAGATATGACAATATGGAAAAGGAAATTGTATATTTTGTCATTATGATAGATAATTCTGTGGTAAATTATTACAATCATATTTTTCTTACTGAGTGAATTGTTATGTTATAGATTAACATGATTTTCATACCTAAACAACATTATATTTTTAGTGCTATTGACATGGTGAATTATTAAATCAAACATCAGTCTGCATATTACCCTCTCACTCATATTTATATATCATGTAAAAGACATTTTATGCCATTCAATAAAACAGTTTCTTAGAATAAAGTCTTACTGAACAAGAAAACCATTCACTTCACATTCACTCCCATATTTAATAATGTGAATCACAAAGGTAGGGTTCCCTCTCTGGCACTAATTCACCTCCACTATTCACATCACCTTTAATGGCTGAGACGTCTCAGTGAGACACCCGCATAACAGGTGACACTTGGAGTGTCGGCTACAGAAATGAACTGAAATGTACAACTATATATCACTTATACACAGCAGTTAACTCGCACTACTATTGAGATCTACCACTCAGTGAGCTTAATCCTTATATTATTAGCATTGAGATTATGAAGCCAAGTGTGTTATAACTGATATACCATGGGGACAATGCTATCAGCTGATAATGTACATCAGTGGCTCCTACAGCTGGTGAAATCAACAAGATGTGACCAATTGTCCATTTCATGTTGTTTTCAGGCATGTACAGCCCTGAGCAAGGACTGTAGCATTCTCTCATCCCTATTGCAGCCATTGTTACCGTGAACATGTGTAATGTTTTATCATGTTGTTCCATAACAAACTGTCAATTTCCCACGGAGGAAATAAATATTGTGTATTAGCGATACAATGTTGTTGACCTGTTTGTTTCATTTAATACATGTTGCTGGGAAGTAATCAATTATCCACGGTAGATTAATTGGATTGGGTTTTTCACAACTGGACTCGAACAAATTGCACCTAATGTGAACTTGTTTTTTCCCTGGGTCAGTGAAATTAGAAACATGCCTACACAATGTTCAGTAACTGAGTGTAGAAGACTGTCTGGCAACTAAGTAACAGACATGGCTTCCTGAACCCTGATTTGGATATTGCAATATTTTATTACCTGGTTTATAAATGTGGAAGCCAATCCCGAAATGTAGAAAATAGCTTAAATGGTCTTCCCGCAGGATCTGTAAACTATGTTCAGTGATGTAAATTAAAGCGACAAAACCCTTTCTATATTCATAAGAAATCTCTGCTAAGGGCAGAGTCGATTGTACAATTCCAACTATATTATGAGATGTGTTTATGAATCACTATCAAATAGTGATGCCTATTGGTGTTTGGAAAAAGGTAAGCGTATCCTGCCCCACGAGTGGTCCCCCACAACAAACGCATGCAAAGGCAAGTCAATTGTTCACCTGAAAAAGCACAGCAACATATGGTACATGTAATATAGGGAAATGCATTGGACATTTCTGTCACAAAACCCCTTCTAGGTATATAAGGGAAATGTAGTGACCCTGCATTTTGTCTTGCCAATACTTCTATAACATCTATATTACAAAATTATATCTTTATTTTCATTCAAACCATTGAAAATACATCTTTAGGAAATAAAATCTGTATGTAAGCAATTTGAGAAAGACCTGAGATGTGATGTTCTGATGATGTATTGTACTCACTCACTGACTGACCGTGATGCAATGATGGATCGTAGGTTTCCATGATCGACTGGTCGGAAACCATATCATTTACAATGTTATATCTGTTCGACACGTCATTAATATAATCTTGAACTTGAACATACAGGTGACACTTTACCAAACTTCTTGCTTAGTAAGATTTAAACCTTTATTTAAGAAATTAAGGAGACGGAGGAGTTTATCATACAATAAAACACTGCAGGGAGAATTAACCATGAAAATCTTATCATATATTTGGATGCGATTGTTCGGCCATCACGTTTAAATGTGTTGCCCAGCTAGGAACAATCACTAGGCACTGTCCTCTGAAAAATAATGATGGCATCAAGTTGCGAGTCCATGTTGGAATCTCCAGAAATGACATCATGACAGAACAATGTTTTATTGTGAAATAACCACATTTGTTTCTACATTGTTCTTTGCATTTAATCGCGTATACGTAGCTATCTTATATGACAGTGTTTAAAATACCCAGTCTAATTGTTGACGGATGGTGAGTTTTGGAATGTTGCACGCCCAATGTTTGCGCTATTATTGTATTCCCTACATTCCTTAAGCATTCTAGTTTTAATTCAATGTTAGAGGTGAATGAACTGTCAACAGTTAACACATGATTCAGTCACTTCCACGTATGTTGATATCAAGTTTCTGTCCTCATACAATTCTTATGCTTATCCTTTTGTTTACTTCTGTTTGTTAAAATTCTGGACTGGCAACATTTTCTCTGGTCTGGTAACTTTACAAAGTTGCCAGTCCGGTTGTGTGACTGAAACTTTGGGGACTTCTATACTGTATAAGAAGATAAACACAAGCATTTTGACCAGTTTTGAAAAAAGAAATTAGTAGCTGATTATGACTGATTGTGATGGATCGATGGGTGATGAGGAAATTTCACTGCGAGACATCCAAGGTCTGACTGGCATGGTGTCATGAGGTTCGTGCTCTGTAGTCACCTGATGTCATGATATCCATGGAGATGTCATGTGTAATAAACATACCACACACTATAGAGCTTTGTGGATGTGATGCAAGTACCATTTTATTAAAGTGTACGGATGTAATTGTTGATGTCGTGTTGACCTACCTTCAGTTATCAATATACAAGGCACTTCCTCTACACTCCTGCTGATTATTAATGATCATTGCAATCATGCCTGCACACCTACATTATGAAATATGTGTAATCATTCATGTACCAGTATTTCCATCGCTCTCACTAGGGAAATAGACCACCTTCGTGGTCTAGTGGTGGAGCGTGCACCTGGAGAACATCAACCAAAAGATGCTAAAAGATGGTACCTGCTGATACCTTACCTAACACTCGGCATAAGGGGCTAAAACAAGGACTGGTTGGCTCGGAGTCAGTATACTGTGTCTGAGTGGAGTATTCATGTTAAACTGTGGCATGGTATCTCAGTGGGCTAGCTCTATAAAGTCGGCACTGGTCGGGACTAGTACAAGCAGCCATACACATGTGTATGCACATTGCTATTAAGTCCAATAATCTTGAATGTGACGTTACACCCCATGCACCTTACCTCACTGGGGAAATATAGTAATTCTGACATTCAGTTTGTAAACTCAGTTGATCATATCTACTCATGTAATATTCTTTATATTTTGTACTTAGAAACAAAAAGACTAATTATCACATCACCATAGATCTCATTTGGCCAATCAGCAAATACAGAATCCAACATATATTTACATATATATCCTAATGCTTCATAACTGTCCTAAATGCATGCCCCCCTTGAAGATCCGGGGTAGAATAGGTCTTCAGCAACCCATGCTTGCCGTAAAAGGTGACTATGCTTGTCTTAAGAGGCAACTAGGTAATAGGATTGGATGGTCAGGCTCGCTAACTTGGTTGATGCATGTCATCGTATTACAAACGGGTGGATCGGTGCTCATGATGTCAATCATTGGATTGTCTAGTTAAGACCTGGTTATTTACAGATTGCCATCATATTGCTGAAGATTGCTGAGTGTGGCGTCAAACAAACCTTCATGCATCCAGTTGTTACTGAGGGGGTCCAGCAGAGGGTCCACATGGTGGCAGATACCAGAGTTGGTTGGAACAAGGCATAGATAGTCCATAGTTTGGGTCCAAGCTAACACAGGCCAGATATGTCTAAGAGTTGATATTCCACCAAACTGCCCAGTATTCGATAAGAAACAACCTATTTATTTGATATTTATATTTTATTTACCTCCTGCCTTCATATAGGTAGCTGGAATACTGTGTGAGGCGTTAAAAAAACAAATTCTATAGTCATAAAAATACCTGCATAAAGTCCATATTAATTAATTTTTTTGTTTTTAAGTGTCACCTCTCCTGTTTTGTGATTGCACGTTGAGTGTATATGATGTTTAGTATGTGAAGAATCTCTGAATTAGTGAGTGACACACTGACACTTACTAATATTCCCTTTGTACACAAACAAATATATATTACTTCTTTCAGTGGCATTTAGAAGTTGGTGTGATGAAGAAAGACAAGTTCTATGGATGAACAACTTCTTTATTACAATTATTGTGACGTTTCAGATCTACACCGAAACGTCGCACTAATTGTAATAAAGAAGTTGTTCATCCATAGAACTTGTCTTTCTTCAAATATATATTGTTGTGTACTTCTCTATTTGAAATATTAACACTGGACAGGAAATGTATTAGTTCTACAGGGAAAACACTATCATCAGCATGCAGGCAGATTTCAGCAAAGCATGAAATTGGCAAACATCAGTTGACAGCAGTGAACATGTTATAAAGATAACACAGCAAACCTGGCCATGCACAGAAAATAAAGAGGGGGCCATGCCCACCCACAAACACAATCTCTTCCACCCTACAGAACCTACTCTCAACACCCCTCACCTCCCCAGCCCCTGCCTTTCACTCACTCACTCACTCACTCACTCACTCACTCAGAGTAAGCATGGTACAAAGGTCTACAATGTCAGGGAGGTAATTTAGCCGTGCATGTAAGCTGTAACTGTCAGCCCAGACTCGTCATACTGAGACTGATATGATTAGTTTTACCCTCGAGTGATCACTAGAGATCAAATATAATGTACAATAAGTATATCTACCTGAGGAGACAATTAGATCTGCCCAATTTAGGAGCCAATTCTTGGTCAGCAATCCACATCCAGGTGTTCGTTGAGGATCAAAGGCTATCACGACGCGTCTATAGAATGGAACTGTATGGCGTCAGAAACCCCCTCTCTGTAATTCACCTTGATAACTCGTCTGGAAGATAGTACAGTGATCTAGGGTATGTTTGAGACTTGGTGAGGACAGGTCCACTTCACCACATGACCTGTGTATTGAACTCAACGTGGAAGCAATCAGGGAAAGTGTAATTAATGAAGCGTAACAAATCTATTAACTCCACAAAGCGGCATCTAATCCACTGAGCTCTATACAGAAGCTCCCACTACAACAATCCTTTGATTATGGGCCTTCTTCGTCACACTTCAAAATCAGTTTCACACTATGAGCTCAGAGTTCTAATCCATTTTTGGGTAACAAGTCAATGAATAGAGACAAGAAGTTTCACATCAACACTATTGAAAAGCGTTCCCACTCTAGAACAATATAAAAGTTCCCGGCAGGAGGCTGTCTTCAAGCTCTAACCCATCAATGACATAGGGCAACCAAATTTCTTTGTCACTCGCCGACTATTTAGTTGAAACATTCATAAGGAGCTGTACGAAGCCTCACCACATCACTGACTAAGACAATGCTCAGTACTGTTCTAAATCCCCGAAAATCTGATCAATTCGCCAAAAATTCAGTTGTCAATAATCAACGAATAAACAACAAGGGAAAAGCAAAGGTATTACCCCCCTTTATTGTAGACACAGCAAACGTTCGCGTACAATGGTCAACTATTGACAGACATGTTGCGAACTGTCCAAACTTGGTTTCAGAGGCAGAAATTCACTTAATTCTCTATTGTGGTGAAAAGCCTTTGTGAGAGCCGCTGTCTTGATGGGCTGTCATACTGCAAACACGGCTTGTGGCGAGCGGGGCTCTACTAGAAAAACTTCACTATTGTACTTACTCATGATGAACTCTCATCACTTTGACAAGCGTCTGTCGCTGAAACCCAAACAGCCTCAAGCCATCAGGCCTCAGACTGGCAAAAAACACAATTCAAAAATTACTAAATTATCAGGTAAATGAAGAAGGGAGGTAAAATAAACTGACACCTGGACAAAAGGATCAAATTGGAGTGTCTGAAACATTAACGACAGTGACAAACAGTCATTGAGGTTGAAAAAAGGTGTTGTGATATATACATAAAGGCAAGCACACGATGGCTGTCCATTTGGGCTGAGAGTCGAGGTCAGTGAAAGTTAAACAGACTGGACTTCACAAGGGCTTTTTTGATCATGTTTCACTGGCTGCTTGTATGGTATTGTCTATGTAAACACCTACAGAATGTCCTCGGTGCACACCTGCACAACATCCAACGTTCCTGACCAGTACAGGTGGACAGTGCTCATACAACTACTTGCTACAGTTTCAACCTACAATATTTTGATTGCACATGGACTAATGATGAATTCACCAGAAAGAAAAATAAAATTATTGATTTGTGAAAAAAATGTTTTGATTCTAATAGAACAGGTGTTAATTTCCTAGGAGAACACAATCAATTTATAATTGCAACAACAACACATGCCAGTTTTGCCTGAGGCAATGCAATATTTGTTTAATATCTTCATGCTTATTTAATAATGAACATAACAATTAAAAAATTTACTGTATAGAACATTAAAAGTTTCTTAATTCAAAATCATATGAAATGTGTACTTCACCTATGGATATTTTGTTCCCAATTATCAAAAAAAGAAAATTAAAAATGTTTATTTCACAATTTCATTTCAACCAAAATTTGTGACAACATTTCTAATGTGCATTCATACATTTAAAAAAAATGAGTACCACAAATTACATCTTTCTGAAGTAAATAAGCATCATATAGTTTGTTACTGGTAAATATCATAAAAATACTCATTGTCATATTATGTACTCCGATTCTAGGTCAGCACACTAAAGAACTGGGTTGAAAAAGGTTGGGAATAGGTCAGGTATATGAGCATATGCAACTTTTGGACCTTGGAAGTAAAAGCCCATCTACATAGGTTAACATACCGCCATGTGAGGAGATTAGTTCAGGTTTACCTGTAAATCCTGCACAGAGTCCAACCATTGTGTGTTAGTTGTTGGTCTGCTCACACTTGTCAGTTATCTCGCCCCAGTACAGCTGCTAAACCTTCAGATTATCTCACAGCTGAAAATGGGTTTGTGTCTTTGCTTTGTCAGGATCAAAGGGTTATCTGCCCTTTCTCTATTTGGTACATAGAAATAAGGAAGGAAGACGATTCTGATGTCAGCATAACCTTACAGTGGGACCGACCGGATCTGAGATTCACTTGTTTAGGGGAAAGACATATTTCTGTATGGTCTCTCAGAAGGAGGTATACTGAGCCCAGTTGTTTTGGCATACAAATACACAGCTAATCAGGCAGGGATTTTGTATTGAGATTAGATATATTTTCAGCTACAGATACAGTCAGCATGAATATTTTTTAAGAATAAGACGTTGCAACAATGAACAATGAACTATTTCTGGCAGGACTTTCTTTGTTTTCTACAGTCAGGAGCATAATTATTCTTTTCAGGAATTTTTGGGGACAAGTTATGTTTTTATAACGTCCCAGCCCCACGCAGAATATGAACTTGTCAGTCCAACAATTGCAGTTTTCAATAACAGCTATACAAGCCTCTACTTATGAGCATCTTATTTATCCCTCTTCAGTGTAACATGTTAACAGAATAATATCCCCAAGTCTGATCTTTGTTACTTATTGAAAGTCATTCCTTAACATTGGTTTGCCAATTGTTTACCATAAAAAAAACTACAAATGAACCAAATGCTACTGGCTTGAATATTTTTACATTTTAAAAAAAACATATACTTTCATCATTATCATGAACACAGACTGTGACTGTCAGGGGCACACAACATGACATTTGTGTCCATTGGATGGTGGATTCTGAAATTGGGTGTTTAACAAATTCTCCAGTTTGTAGTTTAAGTGAACCTTGTCATATGTGAATCCAAATTAAAAGGTCAATATTGAGATTAACAGATTCCTATTGGTATAGAACATTCTATTTCTCCCTTCATTCATATGCCTCCTCAAACCCAACACACATCTAATCCAGTGTGGTGATCCAGTGTGATTGTCTGTGTAACAAAGACTCACACATCTAATCCAGTGTGGTGATCCAGTGTGATTGTCTGTGTAACAAAGACTCACACATCTAATCCAGTGTGGTGATCCACTTTGTCTGTGTAATAAAGACTCACACATCTAATCCAGTGTGATTGTCTGTGTAACAAAGACTCACACATCTAATCCAGTGTGGTGATCCAGTGTGATTGTCTGTGTAACAAAGACTCACACATCTAATCCAGTGTGGTGATCCACTTTGTCTGTGTAATAAAGACTCACACATCTAATCCAGTGTGATTGTCTGTGTAACAAAGACTCACACATCTAATCCAGTGTGGTGATCCAGTGTGATTGTCTGTGTAACAAAGACTCACACATCTAATCCAGTGTGGTGATCCACTTTGTCTGTGTAATAAAGACTCACACATCTAATCCAGTGTGGTGATCCAGTGTGATTGTCTGTGTAACAAAGACTCACACATCTAATCCAGTGTGGTGATCCACTTTGTCTGTGTAACAAAGACTCACACATCTAATCCAGTGTGGTGATCCACATTGTCTGTGTAACAAAGACTCACACATCTAATCCAGTGTGGTGATCCAGTGTGATTGTCTGTGTATCAAAGACTCACACATCTAATCCAGTGTGGTGATCCAGTGTGATTGTCTGTGTAACAAAGACTCACACATCTAATCCAGTGTGGTGATCCAGTGTGATTGTCTGTGTAACAAAGACTCACACATCTAATCCAGTGTGATTGTCTGTGTAACAAAGACTCACACATCTAATCCAGTGTGGTGATCCAGTGTGATTGTCTGTGTAACAAAGACTCACACATCTAATCCAGTGTGGTGATCCAAATTGTCTGTGTAATAAAGACTCACACATCTAATCCAGTGTGGTGATCCACATTGTCTGTGTAACAAAGACTCACACATCTAATCCAGTGTGGTGATCCAGTGTGATTGTCTGTGTAACAAAGACTCACACATCTAATCCAGTGTGGTGATCCAGTGTGATTGTCTGTGTAACAAAGACTCACACATCTAATCCAGTGTGGTGATCCACATTGTCTGTGTAACAAAGACTCACACATCTAATCCAGTGTGGTGATCCACTTTGTCTGTGTAACAAAGACTCACACATCTAATCCAGTGTGGTGATCCACTTTGTCTGTGTAACAAAGACTCACACATCTAATCCAGTGTGGTGATCCACATTGTCTGTGTAACAAAGACTCACACATCTAATCCAGTGTGGTGATCCAGTGTGATTGTCTGTGTAACAAAGACTCACACATCTAATCCAGTGTGGTGATCCAGTGTGATTGTCTGTGTAACAAAGACTCACACATCTAATCCAGTGTGGTGATCCACATTGTCTGTGTAACAAAGACTCACACATCTAATCCAGTGTGGTGATCCACTTTGTCTGTGTAATAAAGACTCACACATCTAATCCAGTGTGGTGATCCAGTGTGATTGTCTGTGTAATAAAGACTCACACATCTAATCCAGTGTGGTGATCCACATTGTCTGTGTAACAAAGACTCACACATCTAATCCAGTGTGGTGATCCAGTGTGATTGTCTGTGTAACAAAGACTCACACATCTAATCCAGTGTGGTGATCCAGTGTGATTGTCTGTGTAACAAAGACTCACACATCTAATCCAGTGTGGTGATCCACATTGTCTGTGTAATAAAGACTCACACATCTAATCCAGTGTGGTGATCCAGTGTGATTGTCTGTGTAACAAAGACTCACACATCTAATCCAGTGTGGTGATCCAGTGTGATTGTCTGTGTAACAAAGACTCACACATCTAATCCAGTGTGGTGATCCACTTTGTCTGTGTAATAAAGACTCACACATCTAATCCAGTGTGGTGATCCAGTGTGATTGTCTGTGTAACAAAGACTCACACATCTAATCCAGTGTGGTGATCCACTTTGTCTGTGTAACAAAGACTCACACATCTAATCCAGTGTGGTGATCCACATTGTCTGTGTAACAAAGACTCACACATCTAATCCAGTGTGGTGATCCAGTGTGATTGTCTGTGTATCAAAGACTCACACATCTAATCCAGTGTGGTGATCCAGTGTGATTGTCTGTGTAACAAAGACTCACACATCTAATCCAGTGTGGTGATCCAGTGTGATTGTCTGTGTAACAAAGACTCACACATCTAATCCAGTGTGGTGATCCAAATTGTCTGTGTAATAAAGACTCACACATCTAATCCAGTGTGGTGATCCACATTGTCTGTGTAACAAAGACTCACACATCTAATCCAGTGTGGTGATCCAGTGTGATTGTCTGTGTAACAAAGACTCACACATCTAATCCAGTGTGGTGATCCAGTGTGATTGTCTGTGTAACAAAGACTCACACATCTAATCCAGTGTGGTGATCCACATTGTCTGTGTAACAAAGACTCACACATCTAATCCAGTGTGGTGATCCACTTTGTCTGTGTAACAAAGACTCACACATCTAATCCAGTGTGGTGATCCACTTTGTCTGTGTAACAAAGACTCACACATCTAATCCAGTGTGGTGATCCACATTGTCTGTGTAACAAAGACTCACACATCTAATCCAGTGTGGTGATCCAGTGTGATTGTCTGTGTAACAAAGACTCACACATCTAATCCAGTGTGGTGATCCAGTGTGATTGTCTGTGTAACAAAGACTCACACATCTAATCCAGTGTGGTGATCCACATTGTCTGTGTAACAAAGACTCACACATCTAATCCAGTGTGGTGATCCACTTTGTCTGTGTAATAAAGACTCACACATCTAATCCAGTGTGGTGATCCAGTGTGATTGTCTGTGTAATAAAGACTCACACATCTAATCCAGTGTGGTGATCCACATTGTCTGTGTAACAAAGACTCACACATCTAATCCAGTGTGGTGATCCAGTGTGATTGTCTGTGTAACAAAGACTCACACATCTAATCTGACATCATGTCAGGAAAGATTTATTCCTTATTTTAATGCCTACCCCAAGCTACTTGGACACTTTTGGACAAGCTCTGTGACACTGAGAGAACCTACCCCTGCAAACAGAAACATATATGACCGATTTCCTGTGTCATAATTTACCGATATCAGCCACTCTTGCCGCTAGTGTACTGTACAAACAACATCTTTCATAGAGATCAAGGGAGATTATCAGTGTTTTTCATCTTATCTGGGACAGGCTCTCGCACCTCCACTTGACATCTGACTCGATCCCTGTGAGGAGCTCACTGGCCACATAGGAGTCGTGAGATACATGCAAGCAATTGCTTTACGATATGTTAACTCAGTAATATCACATGGTATCTCATAAAACAGCGTG